GAGCTTCGCTTCCAGATTTCGACATTCCAAATCCAGTTTCCAATGGCCATATTCTAATTTCCGGGGTTTCAGTTCATAGATTTCAGTAAGTTCTCAGGTTCCAGTTCCCAGATTCCATTTTACAGATTACTGTTTCCAGTTTCTAGATTCCAGTTTCCCGATCCCATTTTCAAAGTTCCAGTTTCCGGATTCCAAGGCGACCACGATTCTGACTTCACTTCCGGAATTCACTGCTCAGGGTCCGGTTTTTAGAGCGCAGGAGCGCAGGAAACGTATATAAAAAATGAAAGAATGAATATAATAACAACCCGGCGTCGGGACGTGACGACCCCATCGCCCATCACCTTCTTGTGATGCAATCAGTCACGAAGTGCTTTCCAGTTTTAAGTTTCTAGAGCTTGTACCTAATTGTTTTGATTGAATTTCGGTTCTCATTTTATTATGTAGTTTCCAGGATTCCGCCTGGCACCTTTAACTTTGCCTGTAACCAGAAAAAAAATTGAATCCTTCAAGAGCTTCGGATCGCCTAATCATTTCGAAATTATTTAAGGGTAGAGACCTGAAATTTCCCGGTTCGAAAGTAATCCTTTTCACAACTAAACCTCATACAATCCAAATTACGTTGTTGATCTATAATTTCCAGCGAGCTTTCAGTGAATTAAGGACAATGCGACTCTCAAATTACGTATCCTAGTTTATTCACTGGCCATGCTCGATAAAAGTGCTGTTATTATCGTACCCAAAACCATAAGAAAAGACACGCAAATGTAGACAATAATACGTTTGCGGTTTAACGGTAGTAGCTTCGCTGCCTGGACGCTCGATATCACCTCTTTTCCGTCTTATAAATATTATAATATCTGGCGGGGTAATGATAGACTAGGGTTCGTGAAGAAAAAAAAACGACCCACATGTTAATTTCGTATTTAGTAGCTGGAAAGGGAATCAGTCGAAATAATTTAAGAGAATAATAAACATTTGCTGTACTGCAGGTGCACTGTAGACTACAGTCAAAATCAAAATTCACGTTTTCAGATTTTTCGGCAATGGATAACTTTTGTGGTATTAAAATGTCCTTTGAGTCTTTAGTTGCTTTTGAGCCTTCAGCTAATGAATCTCTTGTCCCAAATTCTATCCCGATCCTTTAGTCCTAATTCCTGAATTTTGTTTTGAGGCTTCAATCTTAATTCCTGATCTTTAGTTCTAAATCGTGACACTGAGTTATGAATCCTAGGATCCGAATCTCTCGGATCGTAAGTCGCGAATCCTAGATCTTTAATATTTAATTCTGTATTGTGAGCCTTGTACATTGAAGCTGTGTTTTCAACACCCCGAGCCCTGAATCATATTTCCCTTTTCCTGAATTCTGGATCCTGAACCCTAAATCATTAATCTTCAATACTAAATCCATTTTAACCTTGGGTCGTGGATTCTTAATCATTCACTTTAAGTCTCTGGAACGTTTACCATATTGTGCCTTGAGATCCAACTCATGAATCTTGAATATTGAGTTGCGTGTTCTAAATCCTGTATCCCCTTGAGTCCATATACCTGAACTCAGGAATCTCTGGTCCCTAAACTTAGACCTTCGAATTTCTATCCCGAGCCTTGGGTTTTTAGTCCTAATTCCGGAATTGTTTTGAGGTTTCGATTTTAATTCCTGATCTGAATCTCTGTTTTCAATACCTTGAGCCCTGAATCATATTTCCCGTATCCTGAATTCTGGATCCTGAATCCTAAATCATTAATCTTTAATCCTAAATCATTTTCCAACTAATGTATTCTTTTGAATCTTGGTCCTCAGACTTTCCATCCCGAGGACACAGAATTTGTAGCCTTTACGTCACTTACTTAGGGATGTAGAACTAGGGTGCTCCGTTCTGTGTCTTAGATACTCATTGCTGAAATTGAATTTTAAACCTTCAATTCAACATTGACCTATGGAAAATGATCCTTGAAGCGGAACTAACGTATAGCAAATAATTAATGTTGCATCTATTTCGATTCTTAAACCTTCAGTTTTGATTCTTTATTTGAAACCAAAATTTTTATAACGCGTTTTTCATCTTTCACTCTGAATCCTGAATCTTACATCTTGAATCCCGAATTCTAAATTTGGATTCCTGATTTTTTTGTCCTGGCACCTGAATCATTAGGAAAAGGAATGTCGAATCTGTGTTTTGATGGGCGTATACCATACCCCGCAGACCCCCTCCGGCGCTACATTTTTCATCAAAACGTACAGATCTTAAGACTCTCGTGATAGCTTTCTATAAATGACCGTTGAATCTTGTTTTCCTGACGAAGACTCCATACCCCACAGACTCCTGGTGTTACGTTGGTAGATACCTTTCCAAAAATTATACTGTCAGTGATATAAGCACTATATTTTTTGGGGAGAAATATAGATCCGGAGGATCTGGGGAGCATGGAGTACCCCCAGCAAAGTAAAATTCCAAGAAGATATTTGAAAAATTATATTAAGAGGCTAGGGCAGCATTCCTCAAGGAGCAACGTGAGGGTATGGACTACCCCTCAGGAAAAAAGATGCATTAAATACTCCCTTCCCCATATACGTAGTATACAATCTCTTTTCTTGAGGGGTAGCTCATACCCTCAGGTTCCTCTTTGAAGAATTTCCTAGTCGCTTTTTATATAATTTTCCAGAAATCGTCGTCGAATTTTACTTTGCTCGGGGGTTTTCCATACCCTCAGATCCCCCGGTTTTGAATTCTTTCGGAACACGGATCATAGTGCCCATCACGAAAGTTCTTAGAGCTTTACGTTTCGGGGGAAAATGTAGTACCGGAGGGTCTGGAGGGTATGGAATACCCCCCAGAATTCAATGATCCAAAGATACTTATGTAGGGAAGGAAATATTAAATGGATCTTTTTTCATTAGGGGCATTCCATACCGCCAGGTTCCTCTTTGGGGAGTGGTTTTAACTCCAGTCGGTTTTAAAGGACCTTTCAATTTTGCGTTTCTCACAAAGAATTTAAAATCGAGGGGTCTGTGGGGTATGGAATTCCCCCAGCAAAGTAGAATTCCACGACGATTTCTGGAAAATTGTATTAAAAGCGACTAGGGTTAAAACCACTCCTCAAAGAAGAACCTGAAGGTATGGAATACTCCTCAAGAAAAAAGATCCATTCAATATTTCCTTTCTATAGAAGGATCATATTGAGGATTGAGTTCTGGGGGGTAATCCAGGCCCCCCGGTGCTACATTTTCCCCCGAAACGTAAAATCGAAATTACACATTGATATTCAAGGTGTGGGATTCAGGCGTCCCAAGACTCAAGGGGATTCAGGGACCTGGAACCCTGAGATTCTTGGCATTATTGAGATTTTTGAAACTCATGAGATTTTTTAATTCGTTGAGATTCATAAGATTCTTGAATTTTTGAAGGATTTTTTAATCTCTCGAGGTGCTTCATATTAAGGAGGTATTGGGATTCGTGAGATTCTTGAAATTGTTTAGATTCTAGGAATTTTTAGTTTTAAGATTCCGGACTCGATTTTGAAAACTTTTAAGATTTTTAAAATTCTCAAGATTTTGAAATTGTGAATGAGATTCTTGAAATTCGTGAGCTCTTTGAAATCTTTTAGATTATTAGGAGTTTTGACGTCCTACTTCAAACTGTTGTGGTTCTAAAGAAAGAGTTATTTGAACTCTTGAGAGTTGTACAGTATTCAAGATCCTTGAAATGCTAAAGATTAATGTGATTATTGGGTCGATTGACTGAAGACCTTGGAGATCCTTAAAATCCTTGAAGCCCTTGAAGGTATCAGAGAGGTATATGAGATCTCTAATCATAGAACCTAAAGAATTTAAAGAACCTAAAGATTCTAAAAATTTCCAAGGTTCTTTAAATCCATGAGGTTTTTGCGATGCCTGAAATATAAGAGATTTTTAGATTCTTTAGGTTCTTTAAATTCTTTAAGTTCTGTGATTTTTTAGATTCTTTAAATTTAGATTCTTTAGATTCTTTAGATTCTTTAGATTCTTTAGATTCTTTAGATTCTTTAGATTCTTTAGATTCTTTAGATTCTTTAGATTCTTTAGATTTCTTTAGATTCTTTAGATTCTTTAGATTCTTTAGATTCTTTAGATTCTTTAGATTCTTTAGATTCTTTAGATTCTTTAGATTCTTTAGATTCTTTAGATTCTTTAGATTCTTTAGATTCTTTAGATTCTTTAGATTCTTTAGATTCTTTAGATTCTTTAGATTCTTTAGATTCTTTAGATTCTTTAGATTCTTTAGATTCTTTAGATTCTTTAGATTCTTTAGATTCTTTAGATTCTTTAGATTCTTTAGATTCTTTAGATTCTTTAGATTCTTTAGATTCTTTAGATTCTTTAGATTCTTTAGATTCTTTAGATTCTTTAGATTCTTTAGATTCTTTAGATTCTTTAGATTCTTTAGATTCTTTAGATTCTTTAGATTCTTTAGATTCTTTAGATTCTTTAGATTCTTTAGATTCTTTAGATTCTTTAGATTCTTTAGATTCTTTAGATTCTTTAGATTCTTTAGATTCTTTAGATTCTTTAGATTCTTTAGATTCTTTAGATTCTTTAGATTCTTTAGATTCTTTAGATTCTTTAGATTCTTTAGATTCTTTAGATTCCTTTAGATTCTTTAGATTCTTTAGATTCTTTAGATTCTTTAGATTCTTTAGATTCTTTAGATTCTTTAGATTCTTTAGATTCTTTAGATTCTTTAGATTCTTTAGATTCTTTAGATTCTTTAGATTCTTTAGATTCTTTATATTCTTTATATTCTTTATATTCTTTATATTCTTTATATTCTTTATATTCTTTATATTCTTTATATTCTTTATATTCTTTATATTCTTCAGATTCTTCAGGTTCTCCAGATTCTTCAGTTTCCTCAGATTCTTCGAATTCTCCAGAATCTTCACATTCTCCAGGTTCTTTAGTTTCCTCAGATTCTTCGAATTCTCCAGAATCTTCACATTCCTCAGATTCTTCAGTTTTCTCAGATACCCTCAGATGCTTCGTATTCTTCAGAATCTCCAGATTCTTCAGATTCCTCAGATTCTTCGAATTCTCCAGAATCTTCACATTCTCCAGATTCTCCAGTTTCCTCAGATTCCTCAGATTCTTCGAATTCTCCAGAATCTTCACATTCCCCAGATTCTTCAGTTTTCTCAGATACCTCAGATTCTTCGAATTTTCCAGAATCTTCACATTCCCTAGATTCTTCAGTTTTCTCAGATACCTCAGATTCTTCGAATTCTCCAGAATCTCCAGATTCTTCAGATTCCTCAGATTCTTCGAATTCTCCAGAATCTCCACATTCTCCAGATTCTTCAGATTTTTCAGATTCCTCAGATTCCCCAGTGTCCTAGATTCTTCGAATTCTGCAAAATATCCACATCTCCAGATTCTTTAGATTCTTCAGATTTTTTAAATTCTTCAGATTGTACAGTTTCCTCAGATTCTTCAGATTTTCCAGATTCTCCACATTCTCCAGATTCTTTAGATTCTTCAGATTGTCCAGATTCTTCAGTTTCCTCAGATTCTTCGTATTGTCCAGAATCTCCAGACTCTCCAGATTCTTCAGATTCTTCAGTTTCCTCAGATTCTTCGAATTCTCCAGAATCTCCAGAATCTCCACATTCTCCAGATTCTTTAGATTCTTCAGATTGTACAGTTTCATCAGATTCCTCAGATTCTTCAGATTCCCCAGACTCCTCAGATTCTACAAATTCTTCAGATTCGCCAGATTCTTCAGATCCTGATTCTCGAATAATTTTGATTCTTTATTAATAGTTAAATTTAAACGGTACTTAATCTTTGGCACTCTTCTAGTCCAGATTATTACAAATTTTACGTAACCTGGACCTTGAACTTTGAACATTGAATCATTCTGAAGGGTATCTCAGGATATATTGGTATATGAAACGCAGTATTCAGGATTAAAGTTTCAGGATTCAGAACTTGAACTTCAGGACTTGCAACTGAGACTGAATGGGATTCGGGGATAAATACTAAATCAGAAATCGTGTTGGGCATTGAATCACCGTTAATGCATGGAACAAACAGACAGACGCGCAGAAAGCGTTGCATTGACACAAATGTTGTTCTTATTTTGTCGCGCGAAAGGGTTTTTCGTCAATTTCAATGAACTAACCTAAATTTTGCCCCTTCCACTCACCCTTTGCAAAATTACGTGCGAATTTCATTTGAAGTGTAAAAGAAAGTAGAATGGACGAAGAGAAGGAGTTTTTGCGAACGTGCGGCGCTTCGTAGCGGCGTCGGGAGTTGACGCGACGCTAGGCGCCTGTTTGTGACGCCCCCTCCCCTATTCTCTCCGGCGCCGCGATAGCACATTCATATATCTTGCACGAGCACTACGTTTCGCCAAAGATGCGGGCGACTCGCCCGACGCTATTTTCACGTGTTAATTGGACCGCCGTTTCACTGCGTCGCCACGCCGCCAATCTACGCGTCGTGTCGATGACGAGCGTCGAAATGGCGTCGCGCCCTTCGTCCGATTTTCCGCGAAAACATCCCTCGCGTAGCGTTCCGCTGCAGCTGGCAGTAGTACTATACGACCGTCACCAAATGATTTTCCCTTATTTGTTCAAGAGCTGTGTGGGACACTTTGATATATACCACACCAACTTACAGAAGAAGAATTCAACAAGAATAAGAAAAAGAAAAATGCCCTACACTCTTTAACTTTTATGTTTCACAAAGGCGTTATTTCTCTTTTTATATTTTCGAAAACTAGATTTTCTTTTCCAGGCCCATTTCTCCCCCCGCCTTTTGTTTAAATTAGGTCGACTCATTTTTAATAGTAATAATAGACGAGCTGCTCCCGTTCTTGAAAAGGAAAAAAAAAGGCTGACCGACGACGATCAAGTACACGTCACTTATTTTATTTATCCCACTAATATTTTTATAAATCGTTTTTTGTTCGCTTTGTAATGGATAAAGGAGCCGCCGTCGCGTTCCGACAGAGTAGGAGGTCTCTATACTATCGCATAAATCATTCCACGTTTTCCCAGTCTTGTTACTCGTATGTTGTAGGTACTACTTGGCTTTTTATTTATTTCTTCCTCCTTTTTTTTTCTTCGTCAAACAACAACCGCGTTTCATTCACAAGTCCTTTACAATGCAATTTTTCGGAACGCCTTTGTTTGAAACGCTTTATTCTTATCTGGTGCTTAATTACGGCGATTTTTTTTCTGTTTCAGACGATGAATTGTCGATATCGACAAAGAGTTGCCGGTTTACCCGACTAATTGTGTGGGAGTACGCACTCGCAGCACTTCGAAGTTGGTTCTTTAGAGCCGGATTTGAAAGTGATAGAGTACAATGTTGCCATTCTTTACGGGGCTCCTTCCACATTGCTGTAATGTATAGGTATAGACACTACTACGTCGCCAACAGTGGCGGATTATGCATGAAGGGAGCTTGAGGAGAACGTGAGAAGGATTTGATATGAACTTAAAGAGAGTCGGAGAGCAATTAAATGGGAAATTGAAGATTGAACGCGATCGGAAACAATTGGATTCAAGATTGAGGGATGCTGAAAAAGAAATTGAGAGAAGATTAGGGGTAATATGAAGGAACTTGAGGTGAGGATAATCCCTTACCTACAATCGCCATTATCACAATGAGACCTTCCGTATAAATAAAGACTTCCAGTATATATGCTAGGAGTATCACACCCCTCAGACCCCCCGGTGACACGTTCGATGAGGTCTTACCGAAAAGTGCAATGATAGTGGTTAGGCAGACGGTTTTATGGGAGGATGCAACTCTGGGGGTATGGAATACCCCCCTGTAAAGGGAAAATTCAATGATCTTTCCTCTGCAATCATCATTATCGCCATGAGACCATTCTTATACTCATTTAGATGTGCTCTTCGAATACTTGGGGGGTATTCCATACCCCCCAAACCCCCCGGTGACACGTTCGATGTGGTCTTACCGAAAAGTGCAATGATAGGGGTTAGGCATACGATTTTGTGGGAGAATGTAACTCTAGAGGTATGGAATACCCCCCAGTAAAGGGAAAATTCAATTATCCTTCCTCTGCAATCATCATTATCGCCATGAGACCATTCTTATACTCATCTAGATGTACTCTTCGTATACTGGGTGGTATTCCATACCCCCCCAGACCCCCCGGCGACACGTTCGATGTGGTATTATCGAAAAGTGCAATGACAGGGGTTAGGCAGACGGTTTTATGGGAGGATGCACCTCTGGGGGTATGGAATACCCCCCTGTAAAGGGAAAATTCAATGATCTTTCCTCTGCAATCATCATTATCGCCATGAGACCATTTTTATACTCATTTAGATTTACTCTTCGTATACTGGGGGGTATTCCATACCCCCCAGACCCCCCGGCGACACATTCGATGTGGTATTACCGAAAAGTGCAATGATAGTGGTGAGGCAGACGGTTTTATGGGAGGATGCACCTCTGGGGGTATGGAATACCCCCCTGTAAAGGGAAAATTCAATGATCTTTCCTCTGCAATCATCATTATCGCCATGAGACCATTTTTATACTCATTTAGATTTACTCTTCGTATACTGGGGGGTATTCCATACCCCCCAGACCCCCCGGCGACACATTCGATGTGGTATTACCGAAAAGTGCAATGATAGTGGTGAGGCAGACGGTTTTATGGGAGGATGCAACTCTGGGGGTATGGAATACCCCCAGACCCCCCGGTGACACGTGTGATGTCGTATTACCGAAAAGTGCAATGATAGTGGTTAGGCAGACGGTTTTATGGGAGAATGTAACTCTAGGGGTATGGAATACTCCCCAGTAAAGGGAAAATTCAAGGATCCTTCCTTTGCAATCATCATTATCGCCATGAAACCATTCTTAGACTTATATAGATTTACTTTTCGAATACTTGGGGGGTATTCCATACCCCCCAAACCCCCCGGTGACACGTTCGATCTGGTCTTACCGAAAAGTGCAATGATAGGAGTTAGGCAGCCGATTTTGTGGGAGGATGTAACTCTAGAGGTATGGAATACCTCCCAGTAAAGAGAAAATTCAAGGATCCTTCTTCTGCAATCATCATTATCGCCATGAGACCATTCTTATACTCATTTAGATTTACTCTTCGTACACTGGGGGGTATTCCATACCCCCAGGCCCCCCGGTGACACGTTCAATGTGGTCGTAGCGAAAAGTGTAATGATAGGAATTAGGCAGTCGATTTTGTGAGGGGATGTAACTCTAGGGGTATGGAATACCCCCCAGTAAAGGGAAAATTCAAGGATCCTTCTTCTGCAATCATCATTATCGCCATGAGACCATTCTTATACTCATTTAGTTTTACTTTTCGTATACTGGGGGGTATTCCATACCCCCCAGACTCCCCGGCGACACATTCGATGTGGTCGTCCCGAAAAGTGCAATGATAGGGGTTAGGCAGCCGGTTTTCTGGGAGGATGCAACTCTAGGGGTATGGAATACTCCCCAGTAAAGGGAAAATTCAAGGATCCTTCCTTTGCAATCATCATTATCGCCATGAAACCATTCTTAGACTTATATAGATTTACTTTTCGAATACTTGGGGGGTATTCCATACCCCCCAAACCCCCCGGTGACACGTTCGATCTGGTCTTACCGAAAAGTGCAATGATAGGAGTTAGGCAGCCGATTTTGTGGGAGGATGTAACTCTAGAGGTATGGAATACCTCCCAGTAAAGAGAAAATTCAATGATCCTTCCTCTGCAATCATCATTATCGCCATGAGACCATTCTTATACTCATTTAGATTTACTCTTCGTACACTGGGGGGTATTCCATACCCCCAGGCCCCCCGGTGACACGTTCAATGTGGTCGTAGCGAAAAGTGTAATGATAGGAATTAGGCAGTCGATTTTGTGAGGGGATGTAACTCTAGGGGTATGGAATACCCCCCAGTAAAGGGAAAATTCAAGGATCCTTCTTCTGCAATCATCATTATCGCCATGAGACCATTCTTATACTCATTTAGTTTTACTTTTCGTATACTGGGGGGTATTCCATACCCCCCAGACTCCCCGGCGACACATTCGATGTGGTCGTCCCGAAAAGTGCAATGATAGGGGTTAGGCAGCCGGTTTTCTGGGAGGATGCAACTCTGGAGGTATGGAATACCCCCCAGTAAAGGGAAAATTCAATGATCCTTCCTCTGCAATCATCATTATCATCATGAGACCATTCTTATACTCATTTAGATTTACTCTTTGTATACTGGGGGGTATTCCAGACCCCCCGGTGACACGTTCGATCTGGTCTTACCGAAAAGTGCAATGATAGTGGTTAGGCAGACGGTTTTATGGGAGGATGCAACTCTGGGGGTATGGAATACCCCCTCGTAAATGGAAAATTCGATGATCCTTCCTCTGCAATCATCATTATCGCCATGAGACCATTCTTATTCTCATTTAGATTTACTCTTCGTATACTGGGGGGTATTCCAAACCCCCCAGTCCCCCCGGTGACACGTTCGATGTGGTCGTCCCGAAAAGTGCAATGATAGGGGTTAGGCAGCCGGTTATCTGGGAGGATGCAACTTTGGAGGTATGGAATACCCCCTCGTAAAGGGAAAACTCAATGACCCTTCCTCTACAATCATCATTATCGCCATGAGACCATTCTTAGACTCATATAGATTTACTCTTCGTATACTGGGGGGTATTCCATACCCCCCAGACCCCCCGACGACACATTCGATGTGGTATTACCGAAAAGTGCAATGATAGGAGTTAGGCAGCCGATTTTGTGGGAGGATGTAACTCTAGAGGTATGGAATACCTCCCAGTAAAGAGAAAATTCAAGGATCCTTCTTCTGCAATCATCATTATCGCCATGAGACCATTCTTATACTCATTTAGTTTTACTCTTCGTATACTGGGGGGTATTCCATACCCCCCAGACTCCCCGGCGACACATTCGATGTGGTCGTCCCGAAAAGTGCAATGATAGGGGTTAGGCAGCCGGTTTTCTGGGAGGATGCAACTCTGGAGGTATGGAATACCCCCCAGTAAAGGGAAAATTCAATGATCCTTCCTCTGCAATCATCATTATCACCATGAGACCATTCTTATACTCATTTAGATTTACTCTTTGTATACTGGGGGGTATTCCAGACCCCCCGGTGACACGTTCGATCTGGTCTTACCGAAAAGTGCAATGATAGTGGTTAGGCAGACGGTTTTATGGGAGGATGCAACTCTGGGGGTATGGAATACCCCCTCGTAAATGGAAAATTCAATGATCCTTCCTCTGCAATCATCATTATCGCCATGAGACCATTCTTATTCTCATTTAGATTTACTCTTCGTATACTGGGGGGTATTCCAAACCCCCCAGTCCCCCCGGTGACACGTTCGATGTGGTCGTCCCGAAAAGTGCAATGATAGGGGTTAGGCAGCCGGTTTTCTGGGAGGATGCAACTTTGGAGGTATGGAATACCCCCTCGTAAAGGGAAATCTCAATGACCCTTCCTCTACAATCATCATTATCGCCATGAGACCATTCTTAGACTCATATAGATTTACTCTTCGTATAGTAGGGGGTATTCCAGACCCCCCGGTGACACGTTAGATGTGGTCGTCCCGAAAAGTGCAATGATAGGGGTTAGGCTGCCGGTTTTCTGGGAGGATGTAACTCTAGGGGTATGGAATACCTCCCAGTAAAGGGAAAATTCAATGATCCTTCCTCTGCAATCATCACTATCGACATGAGAAAATTCTTAGGCTCATATAGATTTACTCTTCGTATACTGGGGGTATTCTATACCCCCCAGTGACACGTGTTCAATGTGGTCTTACCGACTTACCGAAAAGTGCAATGATAGTGGTTAGGCAGCCGGTTTTGTGGGAGGATGCACGTCGCCTTACCGAAAAGTGGGTATTCCAGACCCTCCGGCTACTAAGTCCTGAATATTGACTTCAGAACCACTAATTCCGATCCATCGTGAGTCTTGCGCCTTGATTTACGGACCTAAATCTGAGAGTCCTGAACCCTGAATTCTGTATTCTGGCATCGTGAGTCTTAAGCTCCTAATCCTGAACCGTGCGACGTGCTCTGGAACTAGAAAATTGAGTGATTCATTTTACCATGAAATCTTGACCTCTTCTTGACTCCAGGCTCTTGAGCTGTCAGTCCTGTGTCAAACTGAATGTAGAGCTTTAATGTGTGGATAACCTTGAACTTTGGTTTTGAGTCCTGGATTCCAAGCCATGAATTCTGAACCTTCCGAGTCACGAGGCCTGGGCCGCTTAGTCTCTTAGTCATCTTGGATCTGAGATCCTTTGGACCCAAGATCCTAAATCTTTAATTTTCAATCCAAAGTCGAGATTTTAACTTCCAAGTCTTGACTTCCCGAGTCAATTTTTAATCCTAAATCTTGAATTGTTTCATTTTTACATTTTGGGTTTTGAGCCTCAAAGTCCCTGATCCGCAATGCTCAATAGTGACCCCTGTATTTGAATTTCACAGTTCTAAATTCTGCACTCTTAGTATTGATTTCCGATACCTAAATCACGGCAAGCCTTGATTCCTAAATCCTGAATAAATCTCGTATCTTTTTGAACCCTGAATCACAAATCTTGAGTCTGACCCCTTAAACTTTAATAATCTTGAATACTGCGTCTTGTATCCTGTATTCTAAGCTTACTTGAGACCTGGGATTCGGTCTTGGGTCCTTCACCCTGTATCCCCAAACTAAGTCATGAATTTCTAAGGTATCAGGTCATGGAAATCTGAATTTTTAATTATGAACCTTTTTGAGCTCCCGAGAGTATCTCGAGCCTGGGGTCTTTTGAACCCGCAGTCCTAGATCCTGTATTTTCTACCCGTGTGCACCAATCCCGAGTTTGAGAATTGAGTTCTGATAGCAGAATCCTGGATTCAAAGCCCTGATACCAAAATCCTGGAACCTGAATTCTTCACCTCGTAACCGTAACCCTGAAAAACTCAATCTTTGGGCCTTGAGCACAGGATTTTTAATCACAACTCCTGTGTTCTTGGATTCGGGATCCTGAAACGCGTGTTAACAGTCCTGACGCCATGATCTTGAACCTTGAATTCTAAATTGTCCAAGTCTCCTGTATTCCTGGATCCTAAATTCCCAATCTTTAGATATCTTCAAGTCTCAGTTCTCTGAAGTTCTTGAATCTTGAGTTATGGATCCTGAAATTTAAACCTTGAATTCTGTATTTTGTAACCCGAATCTGAACCTGAACCCTGGATTTTTAATCTTCAATCTTGAGCCCTATGTTTTTTATCTTTCTTCGTGAATCTTGAACCTTGAGCAGTGAATCTTAAGCCTTGGATCTTGTATCCTCTTGAGTGCGGCGGTGCTAGAGGTATCTGGAATCAAGGTTGAATGTAATTCAGGTGCAGGCGAAGCCGAAGTTCAGGATTCTAGATTCAAAGCTCAAGGGGTTCGAAATGCAGAATGTCTGAGATGCAACAAGGCTCATTGTAATTCCAGATTCAACAGGATTCAATATGCTGTGCGATGATGAAGGTCTGCAATTCACGATTACAGTATTCCTTATTAACGGTTAAACGGGCATGATGTTCTATGATTCAAAATGACGTAAGATTCGGCAAAAATGAACCAAAATGCTACAAGAATGATTGAGATGTGTGAATGTGTCAGCTTCCTGATTCCAGATTCCGCTTGATACCTTCTAGCTTGAGGGGATTCCAGATGTAACGGGATTCAAAATGACGTTTTCTCGATTGCGGATTAACTCGACGGAGCAGTCGATTGATCCTAGCTTTAGGGTAACGAATATGCATCCCCGATTGATACTTCCTATTTGTTATCGCATCTTCTACATTTAATGAACAATAATAGCGAGGGATTAAATAAGCTTTACATCTTAATTATTCGTGACACATTCATCTCCGGAAAAACGTGGTAATTATCAATTATAATGACAGAAATATGCGTAAAAATAGATTTATTAATTATAAACAATTAAATTATTATTTATCAGTGCCGCTAATTGAAAATGACTTTGTTCTTTGCAAACGGTCGTGGGAAAAACCTTCGACGATTACCTTTTTTTTAGCACCTCCAGGACATTTATAAACGGCTGGTGTTTGTACAAAGGATCAGTATTCGAAATGGCACTTTTGAGAGTTTGGTTACTGTGTCTGCTGGTAGGCGTGGCGGTCGGTCGACAGGTAAGTGTCTGGCCCGTTTTGCATTTTTCGCTTTACGTGCTTTTTCGTACAGGTTCCCTCGGAAGCGGTGGAGATATGGAACGAAGCCATGGGACCGTATCGCGAGCAATGCGCCAGTGAGACCAACGTCGATCTGGACACCGTGGCGACGATGTTTTCCGAGGCGAGTCCCATCGATGACGGCGACCACCACTGCTACGTCCACTGCGTGTTCCAGCAGGTGAATTTCATTTCGGCGGAAGGAGAATTCGACAGTGAGACCATCCAGAACACCGCTTCGTTTTTGAATGAAGATCAAGTGGGAGGTTGCGTGAGCTCCGGCGAGGAGGCGGAAGAGCTATGCGAGAAATCGTATCGGCTCTTTGAATGCATCATCGACGCCGTTGCCGAGGATTAGTCCAGATCTGAAGCTTGTCAGTAGTCAATCCCTTAGACGTGCAATTAAAATAAAACCAAAATCGCCAGTTTTTGAAAAATTTGGCTTCGTAGAGACCTACATATTCTCATATTTGGAAGCGCAAAAGATGGCATTACGTTAGAGTTTGAGCAATTGCCGAAATCCATTCTACAAGCGAAAAATGTCACTACGAGGCTTCCAATCTTTCGAATTATCTTATTTGAATTTATAAATTTGAGCATATTGAAAGTGTTTTTTTACTCGTCTCCAAGTTTCCCTTTCTTACTCGCTTCCTTGCTCTAACTTTTCGGATTCCAGATCTAGTTTCCTGCACTCGCCTACCTGATTCCAAATTCCACCTTACACATTTCAGCTTTAGATTCTACTCTCTAAGGTGCAGTTTCGGTTAAAATATAAAAAAAAATATCTCCATAAATAAGGCACGTCTGATTCCACAATATGCGATATGCTTGTCTTTTCTAGAAAAATTTTTGGTAAAATTTCTACAAATAAGAATGTTTTTTATGATTTTTGCAATATCCGATATGTTTGTTTCTACTAGAAGCATCTATGGTTAACATTTCAAAGAAATATCTCAATAAATTAGAAGGTTGACATTGCGCAATCTACGCATTCGCGAATATTATTTTTGCAATATGCGATACTCTAAGAAATATCAACATAAACAAGGAAGTTGACACTGCGCAATGTTTACAATATGAGATATGTTTGTATTTAACAGAAGCATCTGTGATTAAAATTTCAAATAGATATCTTGTCCTGAACCTTGATTCGAATCTTGAATCCTGAATTACGAGTTCGTTAGTCTTAGGCGTTTAGTTTAAAGCCCTGATCCTGAGGATTTAAGATTCAAGGTTTAACAGTAGGTATGGGTCTAGGTTTCGAAGTTTGATTTTCAAGGTTCAGGATCAAACATTTCAGATTCGAGTATAAAATACAAGATTCAGAACGCAACTTTAGAATAACACGGGATTAAGCATTCCGCAGTTTGGAGTGAACTCGTTTTCATGAAAGGTTTTATTCAATGGATCATCGAAAATCTTAAATAATCTTGAGTATTGAATTACAGCAGATTCATTTTATGGATTTTTAAATCTCTCGAGGTGCAGATTAAGGAGGTATTGGGATTCTTGCGATTCTTAAAACATTTAAGATTTTTAAAATTAAGATTTTGAAATTCTTGTTTACCAAGATTTTTGAAATTATGATTGAGATTCTTGAAATTCGTGAGGTCCTTGAAATCTTTTAGATTATTAGGAGTTTTGACGTCCTACTTTAAACTGTTGAGATTCTAAAGACACAGTTTTTTGAATTCTTGAGGGTTGTTCAGTATTTAAGATCCTTGAGATGCTAAAGACTAATGTGGTTATTGGGTCGATTGACTAAAGACTTGAAGGCCTTGAAGTTATCAAAATCCATAAGATTATTGGGTTATTTCTGGACTTTTTAATATTACTGAAATTGTTAAGATTCTTCAGCTAATTAAAAATTGTATGAGAAGTCCTTAAAGATTCTAAAAATCTCCAAGGTTCTTTAAGGATCTTGCGATTCTTGAAATTTTAGAGACTTAGATCCTTTGGGTTCTTTAAATTCTTTAGGTTCTTTAGATTCTTATGATTTTTAGGTTCTTTTGATTCTTTAGATTCTCTAGATTCTTTGCATTCCTTGGATTCCGTAGATTTCTTAGATTCCTTAGATCCTTTAGATTCTTTAATCTTTCGATTCTTTAGGTTCTTTAGATTCCTTAGATTCTTTGGATTTTTGGATTTTTTAGGTTCTTTGGATTCTTTAGGTTTTTTGGATTCTTTAGGTTCTTTAGATTCTTTGGATTCTTTAGGTCCTTTGGATCCTTTGCATTCTTTAGATGCTTTAAATTCTTTAAATTCATTAGATTCTTTAGATTCGTCAGATTATTTAGATTCCTTAGATTCCTTAGATTTCTTAGATTCCTTAGATTCTTTAGATTTTTAGGTTCTATGAGATCTCTAAGTCGCTAGAGATTCTAAAAATTTCCAAGGTTCTTTAAACCCTTGGGGTTTATGCGATTCCTGAAATTTTAGAGATTTTAGATTCTTTAGGTTCTTTAAATTCTTTAGGTTCTTTAGATTCTTAATGATTTTTTAGATTGTTTAGATTCTTTAGATTCTTTAGATTCTTTAGATTCTTTAGATTCTTTAGATTCTTTAGATCCTTTAGATCCTTTAGATCCTTTAGATCCTTTAGATCCTTTAGATCCTTTAGATCCTTTAGATCCTTTAGATCCTTTAGATCCTTTAGATCCTTTTGATCCTTTTGATCCTTTAGATCCTTTAGATCCTTTAGATCCTTTAGATCCTTTAGATCCTTTAGATCCTTTAGATCCTTTAGATCCTTTAGATCCTTTAGATCCTTTAGATCCTTTAGATCCTTTAGATCCTTTAGATCCTTTAGATCCTTTAGATCCTTTAGATCCTTTAGATCCTTTAGATCCTTTAGATCCTTTAGATCCTTTAGATTCTTTAGATTCTTTAGATTCTTTAGATTCTTTAGATTCTTTAGATTCTTTAGATTCTTTAGATTCTTTAGATTCTTTAGATTCTTTAGATTCTTTAGATTCTTTAGATTCTTTAGATTCTTTAGATTCTTTAGATTCTTTAGATTCTTTAGATTCTTTAGATTCTTTAGATTCTTTAGATTCTTTAGATTCTTTAGATTCTTTAGATTCTTTAGATTCTTTAGATTCTTTAGATTCTTTAGATTCTTTAGATTCTTTAGATTCTTTAGATTCTTTAGATTCGAAGAAGTTCATCAGAATCACTCACAATTGCATTCGGGCTTCTATTTACCGAAAGTGGTCTTGGATTGTGCCGAAGTTACCTTCTGTTCACTCGGAATTGATTAATTTGGACCTTATACCTTATGTATAAGAAAAGTGCCACTACCGAGCGAGACGGGTGCGAGGCTGGCACATTCCACGATATTGCGGTGCATTTGAGCTTTTGAGCACCTGTTGCTAGTCGGTGTACAACGTCCTACGTTTCAATAAACTTGTTACGTAGGTCGTAGATTGTAGACGCAACCATCAGCAATGCAGTTTCCAATTTCGGCCGTTTGGCAGGAATGTGCTCAGTGAGTAGGTTGATCCCAATGCTTCTGTTGACGTTTTGAACACCCCTCACTGAGCATAATCTGTCAGGTAGGAACGTCAAAACTGTCAATTTGTTCACATGACAAGATTTCATCGCTGATGATCTACAACAGGGTCCTTGAGTATGAAACGAACAATTGTAATTGAACTTTGAACCATGATCCACATAGGGACCTTTGCACTTCACGTTTACCTACCCGGGACCCGGACCCAAATGAAATATCGGTTCCGGTTCTGTTTATATTTAAGCGAAAATAAAACGGTTCCGGTCCGGTTTCGGTTCTAAAAAGAAATAACGGTTCGGTTCTGCGCATTTTTTTCGGTCCATATCGGTTATTTTCGGTTCTAGTTTTTCAGAAAGTATGGCATTCAAAAAATTCAATATAAGATTTGTTAATTAATAGGTGTGAAGAAAAAGTCATGAATACCAAAACGCGATGTATCGTCAGTGTAGCTAATTTATAATGACAAGGGGAATAAAGGAGGAAGAGGGAAATATATATTGACACACTTAATTTATTACTAAAAAACAGAAAATTTTATTTTCTAAAACTTCGCCCCTCCTTTTTTATTTTTTTTAAGTAGTCGCTAAATTAGCACCACCGCCACCCGTTATGCCTTCAATTTCGACACCTTATTCAAAATTTATAATCCACGGATGGCAATCATAGAGTAATATTTTATCCATTTTCAGAACGTAAAAAACCGAAAAGAACCGAAAAAAGTAATGTGGGTTCCGGTTCTCAATACGTTTCCAATTCTGAAGGAATAACGGTTTAGGTTCGGTTTTCGGTCTAGAAAAAATACCGGTTTTCGGTTCTTTTTCGGTCCGGTCCGGGTCCCTGCTATCTACTTCTCAAAGTCACCATCAGGGGGCGAGCGACCTTGAACTGGTCAAGAACCGGCCCTATATATGGCTACTGTTGTGTTACAAATTTCGGAATCGCCATCCTTATCAACATATTAGTCGTAAAAGTTCCCAAGGCTTCGTCATCACTTATGTGTACACATGCGGTACGGAATAATGTTTATTGAATATTGAATATTGAAATAGCTCACAAATCAAAAAAAAGCTATTGCTGCATTCGTATAACCTACGGTTTTTTCAAAAGGACATTCACAATAGTTTGCGTGGGTAACTCGACGGACAGGGCAAGAAGCAACCCGATCAGGAACGAGTACAGCAAATCTCCTGGGATTTGATGAACCTTACAACACACTTCAACTGTAATCGGGCTCAACGCCATAGACTTACCGTCATTTCAAAGCCGGTTATGAAAGGTGGAACTCGCATCGAGAAGATCGAGTAATGTATTACCAGGCTTTGCACCAAATATATGCAGTGCGTCAATTTCGATACGATTTTAAATGGCGGACACGACAGGAAGCTGTTGATTGGACCTGAAAAACATAGGGAGTGCATTTCGCCAGCTATTCTTGGTAGTTACCCGCGTAACCGAGTTTGCAGCAGTAAATAATCCACGCAAGGGACAGTACGAACGCCGTCGGCGACAAGGACAGATAAATGGAATTGATCCACTTGCTGTAGCTGGCGTTGAGTACGGCGGCCGCTCCGAAAACGTGAGCGAAGCAAATAACCAGCGCCACGAACAGAACTCGCTGGGCGATCGGCTGTATAACGAAAACGAAACATTCGAGCAAAGTCGTGTCAGTAACTCACCTTTCGAATCAGATTTGGTTTGTTATTTGAAACGTGTAGGAAATATCCAAAGACCATGCCGATGAGCCATGGCAATGCCCTTAATGGTGACATGTTGTAGTAAGCGATCATGTAAGCCAAAACATTCCTGCAAAAAATTTCATTCGCCTTAGACTCGCTCGGCAATGACTGCGGAGAAACGTAATAAACAGTTAGTTTCAATTCTATTTCAAATCTAAATTCCCTTTTACTCAAAATCTTGCGATCCCTCCTCGGGTGCTGATGTTAATGATTCCCTTTTTAATTATTGAGTATTTTTTTACGCCCATAATGGCGAATTATCTTCAAAATGGCGATGTTTAAATTTTCTAGTGGTTAATGTTTTTTTTACTACCAATCACAGACGGCTATAATACTATATCCCTATTAAAAAGGATTTAAACTGATCCCTCACTCAGACTCCCGAGCGCGACTGACGACTAGAGGCAATTATATGCGATTACATAAATAGATCTGGATATGCGGTTATGAGGGATTAGTAGCAAAGGCGACAGAAGAAATAACTGAAAATCTACTGCCGAATACCACGTGTATGTCAGGCACTAAAAAGAAGTTTTTAGACGGTGACTTAACATCCAGATGGCCGAACTCTTTTTTCCAGGAAGGTTTGAATATACAGCATGTTGTACCACCAATTCTGAACACAAGGGTCGAGTATACCTTCATTGAAAGCTGGCCATAGAGGACCTGAACCCAAATACTTGACCATAGTCGCTGCGAACAAGACAACAGCAGCCAATGAGGGAGTCAGCCTTAAACGCTCAAATTTAAAACTCCTCTTTCTTTGGACTTGCTCACCTCAAATATCTGTTGACGTAGTGCAATATAATTCCAAACCTTTGCTGTTTCGCCATTTTTTGAAAATATCCATACGCAATCATCGAACCAGACAAAAACAAGAAAACGTCCATGGCAAGGTCAGCTTTTAGTAATGGCATGTTTTGTATCTGGTATATCCACTAAATTTATAGGTTTAGTCAAATGTGCGAGAAAGGAATTAAAAGAATCTCACGCGATCCGCAAAGGATTCATTCCTGTACTTTTGGAAAAACGAATATAAATAGCGATGACTACTATAAACATTGCTATTGAACGAACCCCATGCAGGCAGGTTATTTCTCCGAAGGCGGACTTCGTGTTGAAGATATTCTTGAGGTTTGTGTATATCGAAAATGCAGACAGAAGTCTATTTGGAGCACCTGCAAGTAGTCGTTAGTCAATTGCTGATGTGTTGAACGTCCTACGTTTCCCAGTGAACTTATTACGTATGTCGTAGATTGTAGACGCGACCATCAGCAATGCTAAACATACAGTAATAGTCCTAGAAAATCAGTGAGTACCACTTGTCCATTGGGTGCAGACTTACAATCCAATGATACCTCCAGTGTCCAATTCTGGCCGTTTCGCCAAAGTTTGGCAGTGAGGGTCCTCAGTGGTAAAGTTGATTCCAATGCCTCGGATGATAGTTTGAACGTCCGTATCTGAACATGCGTCAGGGAGGCACGTGGAAAATGCCAATTTGTTCGCAAAAACCCCAAATAAGATTTCAGCGCTGATGTTCTACAACAGTGGTTCACAAAATTTGATATTGGGCGCCCTTCTGCTAATAACTCAAGCAATGTTAGCTTCCCCCTTCTCCATTCTTTGAATAAGGGTCAATCCGCGACATTCAATTTACACTAGTAGGTATATTCGATATGGAGAAGGTCATCGAATTGTCTGGAGGTGACGAATTGCGCAAGCGAATCTCGAAAATTTTACTCACCCGTGTTGCATTTACGTAAATTGACCCCAAGCAATACTGTCCCGTAAAACTGGAACCCTCGGGTTCCTCGTTTAACTTCGTGACATAGAGGCACTCATCAAATGAACCCAGCTCGGCCAGATTCCCGTCCAATACTCCAGCCGGAAGCTTTCCAGTGGAGTCGTACACTAAAAAAGCAGCCGATCTCTTCGGGAGGATATCGAAGGTGACTTACTCTTTAACGCCCACTCCTCCCTCGACCGAAGGCCGACTACGTACTCGCTCAATTGTGCCGAACAGTTCCATGATACCGCCGTTGCGTTGCGTAACAGAAAAGATTCGAGGGCATCGGAAAGCATACGTGGCGACGAAAGTGCCTCGAAGTTGTAATCGAAAACGTCTCCTTTCGTCCCGGCGACGAGGAGAATCAGGCACAACAGTTTTTGGGTAGCCATAATTGTGAATGCGTTCTACAGTAAAGAGACGATTTAATTCAACGGACGGCCTGCCATAAAAAAATCGCGCCTGGATTACTTAGTATAAGATGGATATTTTAAGAGCCCACAATAAACTTGTGGATTACAGCTTTCAACGTAAACAGTCAATTTATCTTATCTAAAGCTCACTTCAAAACGAACAAATATTACAGATTTAAGATTAATGTTCTAGGAGGATTTAGGCATAACTTCAAGCTTGACTGAAAAGTTGAGAAGATTCGGAATTCGTCATTCTTCAAGGTTCATGATATTGGGGATTAATCTCCTAAATTTCGATAGGTGACTCATAAATCGATATTTGTCTATCAGGATTTTTAAAATATTCGCCACACTGCCCCCCTCTTAAAACATGGACGACGGTTATAGCGGAGACACTGCCCCAGGCAACTCTTGTTCTATAACGCGAACTTGAAACTTACAGTAAATGATACGTTTACAAAACCTAATATACATTATATACAGATAATTACAAAATTTTATTCCTTCACGCCCAGGCCAAAAAGCATTATGTGTAATTGATCTATCTTTGTAACGATATGAATCCGCAGTATAGCAGTAGGATGTTGGTCGGTTAATTGAGTGGAGGAACACTGCGGAACTGGAAGAGGAGTTGGAAATGGCGCGTCTTCGTTTACCGGGTTGTGTAAGTGGTGGAGTAGGAGGATTGTGTTTGGCAGGGTGTAGCGGTTGGTGTTCAGTGTGCACTGGGGGATTTGCGTAGTGTGGTGGAGTAAGATGTAGCGGTGGTTTAGCACGAAGAACTGATTGGGGCATAAGTAAGGCGTGCGTACTTCTTAACGGGGGTTGGGGCGGTTAAGTGCGTCTGTTACATCTTTTTTTTTACCTTTTTGGAGACTATAAGGAAAATCGTGGAAATCGATCTCTTAAATGACTTCGTAAAGGGACTTAAAAGCTCTTCACCTCACCGTAAAAACCATTAGTATCACTAAAGGGCCCTGGGGGGGCATTAGAAACTCTTGAAGGAATAACGCTTAGCGACTATTCATATTGAGTATTGTATGACCGTTAATCCTGACTCATGCTCTTGATTAATTTATACGATCTATAGGAAATTTGGAATCTTAAATCATCTTGAATCTTCGTATTTCGTATGAAAAACCTTCCGTTTATGCTGAGTTTACGAGCTGCTATTTAAAAAATCCCACGTCACTGAATGATGAGCCCCCAATAAAGTTTTGGATTAGAGCGTGGAACGTAAATAGCACTTACCAGATTTAATGTTAAACAAAACTTTATGTTTTTCATTTCGTAAGTGGGTCCTACATATTGGGCAATTGGGCTTACTTCTGAACCAGGAAGTCTTCTTCTTCCAATTCCGCCATTCCTTCCTAGGATTTTCATTTTCCCTACCGTCTTTCCTCTTTCCACCCCTCTTTCTCGAATTTGGTCTATACCATTATGGTTTATATTGTCGAAATTTGTATTTAGTCCATAACTTTTGATTGAGAGGTCTGATCGAAAAAGTACGAATCGTATTGGATTCTACGCACCAAAATTAGTGAGAAAAAGTGTTTTCCCGAGAAATTTTGGAGCAGTCGTTTTTTGGTAAAAAAGGAAGGTTATACACTGCCTTTTTTTGGGTCCCGAAAAAAAAATTGTCTCAAATCGCCCCGGAAAAAAAATTTTCTTATAGAATGTGGCCTGTAGAATCGATAATTTCAAACAGTTCCAAGATTGGACTACTAGTTCAAAAGTTACAGCCCTTTGAATTTGTTTCCGAAATTGGTTTCTAGTCTATAACTTTTGATTGAGAAGTCCGATCGAAAAAGTACGAATTATTTTGGATTCTACGCACCAAAATTATTAAGAAAAAGTGTCTTCCCGAGAAATTTTGGTGCAGTCGATTTTTGGTAAAAAAGGAAGGCTATACACTGCCCTTTTTTGACGCCTGAAAAAAAATTGTCTGAGATCGACCGGGAAAAAACATTTTCTTATACAGTTTGGCCCGTAGAATCCATAATTTCAAACAGTTCCAAGATTGGACTACTAGATCAAAAGTTACAGCCCTTTGAACAACAAAAATTGGTTTTCTTTAATTAACTATCTATTGCGATTATACTGACACAAAACTAGCATATGAAGGGAGTTTTAATTTTGCGATCAATTCACAAAATTGCGAGCGTTTCTTAATTACAATTACATAATTCCAAGACGAAACAATCAGTCCAATTCTGTAACTTAAAATAACCTTAGCAACTTGCTAATAGTGAAGGTAATTGCTAGATAAGCAATATTTGTTAAAAGTGGTATTCTGTACTGACAAACTTAGCAATGTTGCCTAACATTTTAACAATTCAATTGCTTGACCCTAGCAATAGGTAAAGTGCTGTTGTTAAGTCTTAGCAAGTGTATTTCACCCGTTCAAATATGGCAGGTGGGTGGTTTAAATCTCGGTTTAAATACGAATTTTTAAACGCTGTTGAAGATTCAATTCTTCTCATAATTCATATAGTTTTTAATATCGTTTGTTTGGAGCAGTTCTTTCATGAACTAACATGGCATTTTTGCGCATTTTCCAAAGAAGTTGGGTGCGCTATTGCAGCCACTTTCTCTGTCCGTCTGTCCGAGGCCTTAACTACTCCTACAGTTCAAGATATTTAGTTCGTTCTTTTTGCATTCGGTAGCGTATAACTCTGGCATTTGAGCCAAGCAAAATCTTGACGATTAAACGGAGCAATGTCAACTTTCCTTTTTATAGAGAAATTTTTTTGAAATTTTAAACATAGCTGTCTCTAATAAAGATAAGCATATCGCATATTGTAAACATCAGATGTGCGCATGCGCAAACTGGCCAACTGCCAAATTTCTTATTTCTTATTTATAGAGAAATTTTAATAACAGATGCTTCTAGGAAATATAATCGCATTGGGCAGCTGAACCAAGTAAAATCGTAACAATTACACTGCGCATCCGCATTATGTCCATTTAGTTACCTTTTAGTAACTACTGATCAATGCATGGAAAATGCGCTAAAGTTAATCGCCTTAGGGCGAAAACTTTTTTACTTGTTTTCTAAATATGGAATGTTGCTCCTATGTTGTTCTAGCGCCACGCTGTTTGGTATCTGTATTTTCCATGGCGAGCAAATACAAATTACAAGTCGCATGTCACTTTTAAAGCACAACGCGCCTAATCGGTTAAACTTAAATCAAAAATATACCGAACCTTACAATTAAAAAGTTTAGACAGTTGTGAATTTAGGTGGTAAGGGTTCAGTAGGCCTAATGCGTCTAATTTTAGGCCCAGTGACAACACTCTGTCACTAAGTTCTGACTAGTTCGTAGCAATTTGACGAAGTGTAGGAATATTAGCATTATTGCTCAAGTTGGTAGTTAGAGAATGACAAATTTGTTATTATTGCTCATAATATTGCTAGAATTTTGTGTGAGCAATCTTGCTATAGTTAGATCTGTCTTAATTTTTCATTTATAGCAATTAATCTTTCTTGAATTAATTAATTTAGACCTGTGCACAATTTTTGCTTTCGTACCTAATTAGAGGTAATTAGGCATGGTATTTTTGTTAATTAATTAATTATGTAATTTCTATCCAAAACGATACAGTTACAATAAGTAATTAGTGAGGAATGTAGTACTTTTTCTCACTTCCACTGGATAGTCTTGTACAAATGGATTCCGTTTCTCTTGTAATTGATGCAACCTGGCTACTGCTAATGATCGTGATTGTTCCATCATGATGGGCTCGTTTTTCAACGGTGCCGTCTTGTGGTGGTGTTTCTGTAGAGGTCCTTGCACCATTGTTCGTCCCTGCGTGTTGTGATTGCCACTTCCACTTCTTCTAGTTCCAAGAGCTTGGATAATTGTTGTTCTTCCGTGGTGGATACCATCCCAATGATCGGTCTTCCTGTTCCTGTCTTTTCGTGGTATTGTGCTTGCATGGAAATGATCCAACTAAACTTTGCTTGTTGTGCCAACAAAGGATGGTCCCTTCCTCTATACGCCTTTCACGATTGTTCTTGGGCGCCTAGTAGATTCGTTAGGTGTTGAGTCTGCCAGCACCACGTTTTTCCATGGCTCCAGATCGAACTCCATGGACTTCTTTGGGAGCATCCCCGGTAATTTTGGAAGGACGATTAGTTCCGTTGCTCGCTTGCCTGGACCTTGGACCTTGCGGTCTTCCCCCAGTCTTGAGACTTGGGCTCTGGTTTAAAGGAGATTTATAACCCTAAGTATAGATTCCTTAGCATGTTCCTCATCAGTGTCAGGTTGCAGGGTATGTGTCAAAGTGTATGTGGTAAAGCTTACGTTTATTAAATTTAGAAAAACCTCACAATGCAAAAAATACCAGTTACTTCATTCGTATAAACTACAGTTTTTTCAAAAGGGCGTTCGCAAACGTCTGCGTGGGTAACTCGACGGACAAGGAAAGTACCAAGCCGATCAAGAAGGAGTACAGCAAATCTCCTGGGATTTGATGAACCTTAAAACATACCTCAAGTGGAATCAGGCTCATCGCCATAGACTTACCGTCATCTCAAAGCCGGTTATGAAAGGTGGTACTCGCATCGTGAAGATCGAGTACACTATAATTGGACTTTGTACCAAATACATGCAGTACGTCAATTTAGATACGATTTTAAATGGCGAACACGACAGGAAGCTGTTGATTGGACCTGAAAAATATCGGAAAGTGCATTTCGCCACCTATTCTTGCTAGTTACCCGCGTAACCGAGTTTGCAGCAGTAAATGATCCACGCAAGGGACAGTACGAACGCCGTCGGCGACAAGGACAGGTAAATGGAGCTGATCCACTTGTTGTATCTGGCGTTGAGTATGGCGCTCGCTCCGAAAACATGAGCGAAGCAAATAACGAGGGCCACGAACAAAATTCTCTGGGCGATCGGCTATAATAATAATAATAATATTTATTCCTCAACTGTTTTACATGAGATATATTTACAAACATAAACAAAAATTAATATAAGGAAATATAGAGGCATAGAGGAAAAAAAAATATAAATATAACAAGAACGAAACGTTCGAGCAAGATCGTGTCGGTAACTCACCTTTCGAATCGGACTTGGGTTGTTATTTGTAAGGTGTAGGAAATATCCAAAGATTAAGCCAATGAGCCATGGCGATGCCCTTGTTGGTGTCAGGGTGTAGTAAGCAATTGCGAATGGTACAGGTCCTGTAAAAAAATTTTTCAAAATGGCTGTTTTCGAGAGACTGATATCAACTTCTTTATTTCTTATGGACGCTATTTTAGATTTTTACGTCACTCGATAGAGAAAAACTACAAAACCAGTGATACTAAACAGTTGGGATTCAACCTTGCATTTTTGCCTCGAATTACTATGTATTTCTTATGGCAATGATTCCATGGCTGATTGCTATTGACACACATTGTAAACTTCAAGGCAAAAATGCAAGGTTGATTTCCAAATGAAATACTAAGTTTTTAGTATCATCGGTTTTGTAATTTTGTTCTCTATCGAGTGACGTAATAATCTAAATTGGCGTCCATAAGAAATAAAGAAGTTGATTAAAAAATTTTTTTTATTATACTTCATTGAAATCACCTTATTTACACCTGTATTAGAAATAATGGTATCTGGCCTTTTCCAGGCTAGTGCACGGAAAAACTTTTATTTGTTACTCAGTTGTAAACGTTGATTAACAAGACAAAACGCAAACGGGTAAACGTCATGTTTAAACGCTACTGACTTGTAAAACTGACAGCAGACCTGTAAAACTGACAGCAGACTTGTAAAACTGACAGCAGACCTGTAAAAATTTTACAAGTTAGTAATCTAGTAATTTCATTGGCCAGAATTAATGCGAAGTCTCTGTTATATGGATCACATGATATTTTAGACATTTCTTCAAGATCAATTTAAGAACTAATTATTTACGTTTACAAATGAGTAACAAATAAAATATTGTACATTATACGCCAGGTAAAAGTTTTTACTGGCTCTAGGAGATGACAGGCTCGCCTAACGGCTCGCCAGTCAACTTCTCCTATCGCCAGTAAAAACTCACTTACCTGGCTAATAATGTAAAATACTATTCCCGATCCCTTTGATTCTTTCCGTGCGCTGAATATAAATACCCAAAATATTGCTTTGAAATACAAATTTACAGGGAAGTAAAGTAATTTTCAGAAAATCTATATGCGTTGTAATGTTTCATATGTAAGTATTTTGCGTTTTAATTCGTAGATGTTTGAATATTTAGATAAACTTCTTTGAGAATTTGTGACATTTTTTGACGTTTCGTCAATCTTATCTGAACTAAACTAATTAAACAAATCGCCTTTGGAATGATTTGAGAGTAACCATGAAAACGCATATTCTATAACTGTCACAAAATAAAAATGTTAGCGAGTTTGTCGTTTTTTATGTTATCGATTTAAAAGAAGTATAATAAAAAATATCGTTCATTACACGTCCAGAAATGCTTTTTTCGTGCTTGCATGGCTTCCCGTGTTCGGCTACGCCTCACACGGGAATTTGCCACGCGCGCACGGAAAAAGCCTGCTTTCCGGACTCCTAATGAAATATAGTATTTTATTATACCTGAATCACAATCTCCGTTTTAAACACTCAAATGCGTGCGAAAAAGGCCTTTAAAACACACGTGCTTTAAAGTTGCTAAGTAACGATACTTCAAGTATGACTTTTGAAACTGTCATCTGGATGAAATAAAAATCCTCTTAGGTCGCTTTCTGTAAATGCAGAACATTTCTTTGGCTTTTGTACCTATCCTTTGGTTGAAGCTTTCACAAACGCGCGGAATTTAGGGTATGCTTCCAAATCTGTTCCACTTTTTAATCGCAGCATTGCTTTAAAGTTTTGAATGAATGCACCAAAATATAGAAGATTTAAATACCTTTGACATTTCCTTCATATATATGCCAGCATTATCGATGCATTTAAGACTTTATTCGTAAGTAGCTTCCTATTCATCCATGGAAACAACTTTTCATATGCTTGATAATAGGCTTTACTGGATTGAGATTGTACACCTACCAACGTTTGTTTAGATTTTACAACAAGCGATTTAATGGATCTTTTTCAACGGAAATCGTTTTATTCACGAAGACGACAATTTTTATAAACAAACGTCAAGTGACATTTCCATGGCAATCGTGAAATTACGAACACCCAGCCCACTTAATTAGACATGTATTCGAGTGTAACGTCAATATGATTTCATTGAATTTCCTATTTTTAAATTATACTGCAGGTATAATAAAAAATACTATAAGATACACGTGTATAATTGGTTTTTAAAGCACTTGCAACGTTAAAGGCACTCCGCTTTGCGTCGTGCCCTTAACCTCGTTGCGCGTGCTTTAAAGACTTGATTATACACTTGTATCTTAATATACTATTTTACACCCATTGAATTTATCCCATCGAATCTTGAAACTTTTTTCGATTTCTCTTTTTTACTAAAATATTTCATCTTTTTAAAAATGGAAATTTTCACTTTTTCCAATTATCTTTCAAAATATCGCATCGGAATACCCATCAGCATCAAAAACTAGTAATAATAACAAAAATAGCCATGTTATCCTACTAAATTTCAGACACCTTCACCCTGTATACTACTGCTTTGATATACTTCGCAGTTAAAAAGTATCCTTTCCGAGCGACCCAAAGGCGACTTTAGCATTAGCCATGAATCATAAATTCATAACCATACAGGGTTTTTAGAAGCCCCAAAAGAATAACCTTTAAGATCGGTACAGGTCATTTTTGTCTTCAAGGGCTCTTAATGGCTGTCTTTATTCTTAATTGGCCCCAAAAACCAGGGTTTTCGCAATACTCATCTCAACTAATCTGACGATTGTTCTCAAAGCGACAGCTTTAACCAGAGAATTAGCTTACTTACAGGTTGTTACACTGAGCCGCCACCCGAAATTCCGCAATCCACGCAAGCGCAAAAACGAACGCAACGCAGCAGACGTCTAGAAAAACTGTTGTTACTAAAGCCTTCTTCGGCCAGCGTCGTAGAGGGATTAGTAGCAATGGCGTCAGAAGAAATAACTGAAAATCTGCAGCCGCATACCATGTTTGTGGAAGGCACTGAAACGAAGTGTTTAGATGGTGTCTTTACCTTTAGATGGCCGATACCGCTGGCTGTGTAAAGGTTTGAATATACAGCATGTTGCCCCACCATCTGTGAACACAAGGTTCGATTATATTTTTATTGAAGTCTGGCCATAGTGGTCCGGAACCTAAATACTTGGTCACTGTCGCTACAAACAAGGCTACAATAGCCATCGAGGGAGTCAACCTTTAACACTCAAATATAAAACTCCTCTTTCACTCGACTTGCTCACCTCATATATCTGTTAACGTAGTGCAACATAATTCGAAACCTTTGCTGACTCGCCATTTTTTGGCAAAATCCATACGTAATCATCGAACCTGACAAAAAGAAGAAAACGTCCATGGAAAAGTCCGCTTTTACTAATGGCATGTTTTGTGTCTGGTGTACCCACTAAATTATAAGTTTAGTTACTCTGTGCAGGAAAGCAAAAGTCTCACGTGATTTATGTAGAACTTATTTCTGTACTTAAAGGCAAAGGAATAGAAATAGCGATGGAATGCAATGACTACAATGATTGCTATTGAGCGAAGCCCATGCAGGCAGGTTATTTCCTTGGAGGCGGACTTCGTGTTGAAGATATTCTTGAGGTTTGTGTACACCGAAAATGCCGACAAAAGGGCATTTGGAGCCTCTGTAAGCAGTCGTTACTCAATTGCCGATAGTGTGGAACGTCTTACGTTTCTCACGGAACTTTTTACGTAGGTCGTAGATTGTAGACGCCACCATCAGCAATGCTAAACATACAAAAATGGTCCTAAAAATCTGATGAGTACCATATTGCTCTTTTGAGAGTAGACTTACACTCCAAATATACCTCCAATATCCAATACCGGCCGTTCCGCTAAAAGTTGGCAGTAAGTGTCGTCAGTGGTTAAGTTGATTCCAAAGCCTCTGAAGAGATTTTGAACGTCCGTCGCTGAACAAGCGTCAGGAAGGCAAGTTGAAAATGCCAATGAGTTCAGATGTTCGGAAAATTGAATTTCAGCGCTGATGTTCTACAACAGTCCCTGAACTATTAACCCAAAAATTTTTGGTCATCGCCTCCACATTTGTCTCATAACAGGCAATTAAGGAATTAAATTGACACTAGTAGAGGAGACACGCGCTCATTGGATATCGAGAAGGGTCACGCGCAAACCTCGAAAATTCTACTCACCTTAGTTGCATTTACGAAAATTGAGCCCATGCAGTACTGCCCCGTAAAACTGGACCCTTCGGGTTCCTCGTTTAACTTCGTGACATAGAGGCACTCATCAAATGAACCCAGCTCGGCCAGATTCCCGTCCAATACTCCAGCCGGAAGCTTTCCAGTGGAGTCGTACACTAAAAAAGTAGCCGATCTCTTCGGGAGGATATCGAAGGTGACTTACTCGTTAACGCCCACTCCTCCCTCGACCGAAGGCCGTCTACGTACTCGCTCAATTGTGCCGAACAGTTCCAAGATACCGCCGTTGCGTTGCGTAACAGAAAAGATTCGAGGGCATCGGAAAGCATACGTGGCGACGAAAGTGCCTCGAAGTTGTAATCGAAAACGTCTCCTTTCGTCCCGGCGACGAGGAGAATCAGGCACAACAGTTTTTGGGGAGCCATCGTGGCATATTGTGGATTCGTTCTGCAGTAGAGACGATTATAACATGGCCTGATTTAATGGACGGCATACCATAAAAAAATCGTGCCTGGATTACTTAATAAACGATGGAAGAGCTCACAATAAACTTACGGATTACAGCTTTCAACGTAACGGTACGTTTATGTTATCTAAAGCTCACTTCAAAACAAACTAATATTCCAGATTTAAGATTCAAGAAGGTGTAAGGTTCTAGGAGGATTTAGACATAATTTCAAGATTGATTGGGATGATTCGGAATTGGTCATGCTTCAAGGTCCATTATATTTCACGCAATTATGGCAGGTATAAAATGTTTCACTGATGAAAAGGATTAATGATGAACCCCCAATAAACTTTTGGATACGAGCGTCGAACGTAAATAGCACTTATCAGATTTCATGTTAAACAAAACTTAAAAATGTGTTTCATTTCGTAAGTGAGTCCTACATATTGCGTAATAAAGAAAAATTGGGCTTACTTCTGAATCAGAAATTCTTCTTCTTCTTTGTCGTCGGATGTGGGTTTCTTGTCCTGTATCCAATTCCTCCATTTCTTCCTGTCTCTTCCTAGGATTTTCATTTTCCCTGCCGTCTTTCCTCTTTCCGTCCCTCTTTCTCGGATTTGGTCCATCCATTCTCTTCTTGGCCTTACCCTTACCTTCCTTTTTGGTTTTTCCATTTTAGTTATTCATCTTGTAAGTCTGTCTGTTATTTCTTTTTTATTTTTTCCGTTATTGGCTCTTGTTCTGCTATTTCTCTGATCGGATCATTTCTTTGTTTTTTTTCATACCATTTACTTTACTTTCATCCTTTTTCACAGTGTATTTTTGTTTTCACCCCTATGCGAGCCCCTATGTCTATTTTTTTGTTTTGTTTATTACGTAATATATTGTTGATTTATTAGCTCAGTTTGATAACCACCGCTTCTAGTTTCCCTTCCTTCGTTGTTATACTTCCCATAAATTCGTATGTATAATTTATTTCTTTGTCGATCTGGACGTCTACGTATAACAGGCAACTCACTTTAGCTGCTTCTGTGCCCAATGACTGTATCCATTTCGTTGTATTTTTCTTTAATTTGTTTAGCAATTTTGGCTTCTCTCTTTCCCTCTCTTATATTTCTTAATATATACGTCTTGTCGTTTTGTCTGTCTTTTCGGTCAAATGCTGCCTGTTCCTCTCCCAGTTTCGGTTGCCGATTTTGATTGTGTTGTATGCTTCTTCGACTTCTTCTCTCTTTATTGTTTATTCATGTTCCACTTGTTCTTCTCTTGATGTTATTTTGTCTTCTGGCCACTGTCGTGTTATACTTTATTCTGAAATGTTCTTTCCATGTTTTGAATGTTTCTTTTGTGTCTGTTAGTGTTTGTCCCTGCTTGCTTTTAATTTTTTTTTTTTTTTTTTGTCAGGTGGGGAAATGCATTATGCACACTCCGGATGGAAAAGTCCGGAGTAGTGTGGGACTCTCACCCACTAAAACCCCACCTGAGGCTTCGGCTTCTAGGGTCATTCGCCTTTATACATACTTTTACACAGAAAAAGATGACTATATAAGTACAATGGGACAGAAACGGATCTAGTTACATTTATTAACATACAAAACCAACAATTTAAAAATATCACAGATCATTTGCTATACCAATTCTTTGGGTGAAGGCAAGAGTATTTTTACATTGCTCTTTGTTTTTAAAGTTATTTTCCCATGCAGGGTCGATATTAAAGAGCACACGTACATCTGTGTACTGCGGACAGACAGAAATAATATGATGTGGTGTTAAAATAACACCACATTGTTCGCATAGTGGCCGTTCTTCGCCCTCCAACAAATATCCATGAGTGAGGGCAGTATGCCCCAGCCGGAGTCTGTACAGCCTGATCAAGTTCAAACGCCCAACGTCGATATAAAATAGCGGATCCAGACTCTGTTTGATCTTCTTCAAAGCCGTATCAGTCTCCGACCACTGTTCACTCCACCGCTCATAAATTTTCGTCTTCACAAGTTCACGTCGTGCAATAGATGATATATTCGTAAAGTCAACGTTATCCAGTTGGAGATAGTTTAATACCTCTCTAGCTCTAACACCTAACGATCTACATCTATTTAGTCGAGCAATTGTAGTTGCATCAGTAAGTGATATAAAATTTGGATGTTTATCATCTATCCTTACTTTTATATAATAGTTTGCGACAATCTGTTTCCGGCGTAGAGCTAGAGGGGGAATATTTGCCTCGACGTGGAGCGATGTTACCGGACTTGTTGGATATGCTCCCAAAGAGTAGCGAATAGCCAGGTTCTGAATCTTGTCAAGTTTCTCAAGCAAAGTATTACTGCCACATGTAGAGTACGCTGCACATCCATAATCCATCCTTGACAGGATGAGGGCCTTATAAATATCTAGGAGGGTCTTAGGGTGAGCTCCCCACCTACGATGAGCTAGAACTCTCATAATGTTCAGCGATTTTCTACATGTAGCCGCAACATTCTCCAAATGCTTTGACCATCGTAATTCCCTATCAAAGGTAAGTCCGAGGAACTTGACTTCTTGGACAACACTGATTATACGATTGTTCATAAACAAAACGGGGTCATAGTGGGGCTTACGGAGTCGACAAAAGTGAACAACCTTTGTCTTCTCCTCCGACAGCACGTACCCGACAGCATTGGCGTTATGACAAATGATGTTAATTGCCGTTTGTAGGTTTCGAGTTATTGTGCCAACCGTCTTACCAGAACAACAAACCATTAAATCGTCTACGTATAAGCATTTATCAATTGACTCCTCAACACCTTTGGCTATTTCATTTATGGCGATGCCGAACAGGGAACAACTAAGTGTTGACCCCTGCGGCACACCATTTTCTAAAACATACTCTTTGGAGTTGATATCGCCGATTCTTACACAGAACTTCCTATCCTCTAAAAAGGATTTTATAAATTTAGGTAAATTCCCTCGAAGATTGTATTTATACATATTTTGCATTATTCCATATCTCCAAGTCATGTCATAAGCACCTTTTATATCGAAGAAGACCGCAACCAGATGTTCACCACTGTCAAATGCCCTCAGAATTCTGTCTGTCAGTTTGACCAGATGGTCTACCGTTGACCGTCCTTTCCGAAAACCAGTTTGGTAAGGCACGTATACGTTAATGCTTTCGAGAAATGTTTGTAGCCGCACATTAACCATTTTTTCTAGCAGTTTTCCCAAGCAAGATGTCAAACTAATTGGGCGATAACTTTGTGCCTGCAACGGATCTTTTCCTGGTTTCGGTATAGGAATTACGATGGCTTGCTTCCATTCTGAGGGGTAGGTAGAATCATTCCAGCAGTTGTTGAAGAATCTTAAGATGGTATTTTTCATTTCAGAACTACAGTGGCGAAGCATCTGGTTATGGATAGCGTCTTCTCCCGGTGAACATGACTTGGTGTTACGGATTGCTGCCTCCAATTCTTCTACAGTAAAAGGTACGTTGCAGTTCTGTATATCATCTGTGTTAAAGTCAATTAATACTGCTTCTTTTTCAGGTTTGGTATCTAGAAAGGTGTTGGAATAGTTTGACGAGCTACTGACTTTATAGAACTGATCTGCAATTATGTTAGTTATGTCTTGCAGTTTATTGGTAATTATTCCATCGGAATTGCGCAAAAACACCGGATGACTGCAGCTGTTTTTTCCAGATATAGCTCCGACTTTCTTCCAGACATCATTACTGGTAGTCTCTGGTGTCATGGTTGTTACATAATGTTGCCATGAAATTCTTTGGGCTTCTAGTATTCCCCTACGACACTGAGATCTTCGTTTTTTGAACTCTACAAGATTCTCCAACGTAGGATTTCGACGAAATTTATTTAGAGCTTTTTTCTTTAATGCTATTTTTTCTTTGATTTCAGGTGACCACCACGGGACCATCTTTCGCCTATTGCCAGGTTTAGATTTAGGTATGCTGGCGTCAGCAGCGTTTATGATGGAAGAGGTAATGGTTTTAACATTTAGATTGTCTTGATTAGGAGGGACGAGGACTTGTGTGAAGAGTTCCCAATTTGCTACTTGGATTTTATATTTAGCTATCGTTTTTATTGGAAGATTGTGACCCCTGACTGTGATAATAATGGGAAAATGGTCACTATGATGTAGATCATCTTCCACCTCCCATTTCAGGCTAGTATGTATACCTGGTGAACATACTGATACATCGATGGAGTCAAATGTGCCTGATCCTGCATTGAAAAATGTAGCGGAGCCATCATTTAGTAAGCTTAAGTTACTATTTTCAATCAGGTCCAACAGTTCTTTCCCTCTAGCATCATTTGATCTGGAGCCCCAAACGGTGTTGTGGGAATTAAAATCCCCAACAAGAATAAATGGTGGTGGAAGCTGCCCAATAATTTTTCGAATTTCTTCGACATCATAATTTGTATTGGGAGTGTAAATATTACAAAGTGTACACGATCTACTAATTTCAAGTTTAACGGCTACAGCCTGGTAAGTTGTATGTAATTTAACTTGTTTATAAGGTGTTCCTTTGTGAATGAGAAATGCTACTCCTCCACAGGCTCTTGCAGGTGAGTAGAAATCCTTTCTAATTTAATTGCTTTTGTTTCTTTTTATGTATCCTTTTATTCTCGTCCAGAATTGCCTACAGGCTGTTCTATGTTCTTCTGTTATCCCTTCTCCAAACTCCTTCCAGGATTCTTTCTTTGCTATTTCGATTTCAGTTTTCCCTGTGTTTCTCCTTCGTTGTTTGTCTTTGCTTTCCATGCTATTTTCTTATATTTTGTCAGCCTTTGTATATCTCTATTCCACCACTTCGTCCTCTTGACGTGTTTACTGTATTTTCTCGTCCCACATATTTTCGCTGTTATCTTCAGCAGTGTCTCTTTGAAACTTATCCATCTTTCTTCTCAGGCCCAGTCTATTTTTCCTTCTGGTATTGTTCTCTTCTCTTCTTCCTTTCCATTTCATTTAATTATTCTAGGTTGTAGACATCACCATTTACTGTTGGTTTATTGTATCTAGTGATGTGGATTGTAAAATAACGATATGTAAGTTACATAAAAAACGGTTATATTACGCGTAACTTACAAGAGGTCGGTTTTTTTATGTAATTTATGTCTTTTATGAAATTTACGTAACTTACGTTTTTTATGTAAAAAAACCGTTACATAAATGTAATACCTATTTGATACATTTTGATCGGTACTACCACAGACCATCAACGGTACTACCAACGTAAACGATTCACCGTTGAATCTAGTTTGGTTTAATGAAGATGATACAGCATCTAATTCGCGATCTGGAACTTCTTCCTCCAAACGACGCGTGATGGCGAAATACCTACTGCTTGGGTATTTTATTTAATACACCAAAATATATAATTTAACAAGTGTTTTTGTTTTCAAACACTCACAAAATTCAAAAAGGTTTATGGAATTTAAAAAAAAAACATAAAAAACATAAATGACAGGTAATTTTACAAAAATATTTGTAAATTACATAAAAAACATAAATTACTGGTAATCTTCATGTAAAATTACGGTTTTTTTTAAATAAATGGTAAGTTACATAAATTACATAAAATACATAAAAAACATAAACAATTGGTAATTTTACACGTAATATTACGCACTTTAAAAAAAACGTGTAATTTAACATCACTAATTGTATCTAATCGCTTCGTAATATCTCTCTGTTCTGATTCTACTCCTGTGTTTTATCGGATCTTGGGTCTCCTTTGTCTCCTTCTATGTATATCGGATTTATGGCTCAGTGGTAGAGCATTGGGTTATAAATCCGGAGGTCGGGTGTTCGAACTTGGGTTGAGGTGAATTTTTCATCTGTGGCGGAGATGGAAATTACCTTAGACCAGTTCCGAGCATTCTACCCTCTACTCCGAATTAGGTTTTCCTGCAGTTTTCCTAATTCGTAAGGTAAATACCGGAGTAGTATAGACCAACTTAAGACCTTCTGCAGAGGCACCTCTAAATAGCATTATGCGGGTCACTCTGTAATTGGGCGCATGCCTGTTGAGGGCCCAAAACAAGAGAGGGATAAAATAAAAAATATATGTTTGTGCCTTTTAGTTTTTTTATCGTTTTTCGTATCTCCATTTTCGTTGCTCATTTCTTTAGTTCTACCAGCCGGGGTGGTGGTTCCTGGATGACCTCCCTGACCTTTAGCAAACGATCGTGATTGGTAAACGAATTGTGGCTAATTCTTATTAATTTTGGGGCGTAGAATCCAAAACAATTCGTACTTTTTCGATTAGACTTATCAACCAAAGTTATACACTAGAAACCAATTTCGAAAGAAAATTCAAAGGGCTGTAACTTTTGAACTAGTAGCCCAATCTTCGAACTGTTTGAAATTACGGATTCTACAGGGCGCATTCTATAAGAAAATTTTTTTTCCCGGTCGATCTGAGACCATTTTTTTTTCGGGGCTCAAAAGAAGGCAGTGTATAACCTTCCTTTTTTACCAAAAGTCGACTACATCAAAATTTCTCGCGAAAACGCTTTTTGGGAGAGGTCAAGTAAGTACCAAGATTTGTAAAAGAATATTTGACCTAAAAATCCAAACTTTTAAAAATTATCAACTCAACGAGTCTAATGTTTGACAGAGTCGAAGTTTGATAAACATCAAGGGTGTCAAAAATTTTAAAATTATTGAAGGTGTCAAAAGTCTCAGGTTTCAAGAACCTTCAAAATTAAGAGAGTCTCAAAGTGCTATTGAAACATTGACTGCAGTATTTCTTAACTTAACGTTGATTTCAAGCACGTTTGGCGTTTTCGGCCCTTGAATTTTCCACGGATGCGAAGAACTTGTTATATATATACCATTCTTTAAAAAGGCTTAAGGGTCTTTAAAAAGTTTCCTAAAAGGATTTATAGTCTCTTAAGTCAAGCAGTTCACCCACGGGTCTGAATGATTTCATGTTTCGCCAAGTGGTTAAAATTCAAAAAAATATCTCAGTAAATAAGAAAGTTGACTTTGCGCTGTGGAATTCGGACCGGCAAAGAGTGCAGATGAGTTTGTTTTCTTTAGTAAAGAACTCGTTAACTTTTAAACGCGAGACGGGTCCAGGCTTAATTCAAAATTACATTCGAAGCCCAAGCGGAATTTGTCTTTATCAAGACACGAATAACGCACGACGATTTAATTAAATGAGAGAAGCCACCGTTCCAAACGAATATAGTCTGAGCTTGGTATCCGGGAGGAGTTCCATGCTGGAAATAACCAGGATAGTAGCCATGATGCAGACGGAGGCAACAGCATGAGGGTAGCCACGTGGAATGTACAAGGGGCCCAAATAAAATGGACAAATTAAGAAAACAGGATATAGAGGTAGCCAGCCTACAGAAAACCAAACAAACGAGTGGGATGGCCGCGACGAGGAAGTACGATTGGTAGATAGGAGGAGGGAAGATGGAGAGAACCAGAAGAGGCACAGCAATCGTAATCAGGAAACACCGAGGCATTGATGTTGAGAAATTTAAAGAAAGAAGCGAGAATATATGTATGGCCCAAATCAAGGCAAGCTTAGGAAGACTAACGGTTATAGGATGCCACATCCCCTCGGACAAAAAAGGACAAGCGGAATTCAGCAAAATTATAGAGCAAAAGAGCGGAATATACCCGGACATCCTATTAGGCGACTTCAATGCTAGACGAAAGGGAAGGGGACGAAGGATAGGCAAAATGCTCAAGCACGAGCAAGACGTGATACATCTGCATGGACTGACAACATGGAGGAGAGGGATCTCTAAATCACAGATCGACCACATAGTAAAGACCAAGTTAAAAAAAATAATCATCACAGTAGGCATATTGGCAAAAACAGTAGGATCGGACCAAAAAATAGTGAGGGGGAAAGTAAGGGGAGGAGTGAAAAATGCGACAAGGAGGGAAAGGCCAAGGAGAAAAGTGAGAGAACTGAATGGGGGGATGTGAGACTTTTGACAGGGGAGAACTATAGAAAGGGCCCCGTCGCTCACTGATCTCGAAAAAGAGTCACACGGGAAAGTTATAGTTTGTAAAAACCAACTTATTTCGATGAGACCTTTCATTAGAATACCATGAAGGGTAGAACATGATGTTTACCCCCCCCCCCCACATTTCCTAAAGTTTAACTTGGCACCACTAAAGGCATATCTGTAGGTATGCAAAATCTGAGACCAATTGGTTGTCGTATGTAAAAGTTATGCACGTTTTACTTTCAAAAACAGCATCTCAGGAAATAATTTGTGGGGGAGCGGGCTTTTAGACAGCGAAATTTGATGTCCGCCTGGCACACCTTCAAGGTATAGGCTATCTACTGCACAAAATTCCAGGACTCTAGGACCATTCCCTAGAAGTAGTTCAAAACGGCAGAAGTGGGTCCCGACGGTCGGACGGATGGACAAAACGCAAACAATAGCACATTTTTTTTAATTCTTAAAAAATGCGCTAAAAACAGGAGGAAACAAAATCCCAAAAGTCAGGTCACCACAAGTAACAGACGATTACAAGATGTACGCAACCTACCCAAACCAAACGCGTGCCTAAGGGAATATAGGCAGCTGAGATATTGGGGGCATATAAACAGGGGGAACAAAAACCTCAAGGGGGCCATGAATCTACGTGCCTCGGAATAGAAAGTAGGCCGGCCGTGCTTCACATGGAACACCACTATAGACCAAACGGTGGCGGCCTCGGGAATTTCTATAGAGAGATGAGAAGAGTGGAGCAGAGACAAACACAAAATGAAAGAAAGAAAGAAAGCAGACGAGTACTGGAAGTGGAGGCAGAATTAGGCGGAAGTACAAGCAGTCAAGAGAAGGAGGAGACAGAGAGGGAAGAAGGAAGGGAGAAACAAAAAAAGGAATTATTGAGATCAATGGAACGAAGGGGGAGAGGCTATCAACAGGAAGCTCCCTCTGATGCAGTTTATACCAGTGGCGAAGCTGTGACCGTACTCTTTCGGGTCGGACAACCCAGTTAGCCGCCCCGTTAACCTCCCCAATACACAAAATTCACCTCATTATTTGGGGACAAATTCCCGTGGCAGTTGACTAAATTCTGGAGAGAACCAATAAGAAAGTTGACTTTGCGCTGTTGCAAAGATATAAACTACCAAATGCAAAAAGAACGAAGTATATAGGTATCTTAAAAACCGTAGGAGTAGGCCTCTGACTCCAGCATTAGTTAGACAATGAGCTCTTTAAAAATATGTACCTAATGAAAACCAGTGGTTGAGACTTAAAAAAATAAGCCCCCCCTAGACCATGTAGAAGTACGCCCCTGACCATTAATTTCCAGTACGTAGCAAACATTTTATAATTTTGGATATCATAAAAAGCTTCTTTAAAAAACCGTTTTTTTAAAGGCATATTCAGTGTTGTAGGCAACGTTTTCACCCTGTATATGGGCCATGTATAGCTTTTAAGAGATTTTAGGGGCCTTTCATGGTTCCTGCCTTTGTTAACTTTAGAAAACATTTAAGGGAAGAGACTTTTAATTTGTTTATTGAAGTTTGGGGATTTACGACAGTTTCTAAGGCCCAAAGTCGAACATTGAAAACA